AAAATTTATGCGATAATAGTGACGTGCGTATTTTTGCCGAATTATAAATTTTACGTAAATATACATATATATATATATATACATATATATGTACATATACAAGTGTACATATACATTGTTTTAATTTATCTTACAAATGGATATATGAAAGTCAGAGAAAATAGAACAATTTGCATATTCTTCCACGTAAACTGATTTTCGCATTAACTACCTTATCGTTCGATGGCTATCTTCATCTCATGGGATCTAATCATAGACGAGGAAGCGCCAGCAGAGGGTACATACACAAAGCGCGAAATCGAATTACTTCCATTCGATGCGTTGACGCGACCCGACCAAGCGACGATAATTTATTCACGATTACGTAAGATTGCTGTGTAATATGACCAACACCTGTTTGTCTCGGTAGAAAGTTTTTCGTACACCACATACACACATTTTTCGTGTTAATTCTTAGGCAAGGTGTTAATTAGGTCAAGTATTGTGCACTCATTTCTCAGATCCTCTCAAATTTACTGTAAATGTACAAAATACTCTCTCTTGAGTGCATATTTTCCGCGGTAAACGTCCTCCATAAATAAAATTTACGCGCGAGCCGTTCTCCTTGACTTGCGAGCATCCAGGTAATGAATACAAAAATGAAACGCTCGATCACAAAGCGTTCGAGAAAAAATAAAATGAGTTTTTTTTTTTGTCTAATTAAAGATATAACATATATTTACGCTTTTCGAATAATAGTAACGACTGCAGCAATTTGAATTAATTGTAAATTGCACGATAAATATTCGGAAATATTCGTCGTAATTCAATACTGAATTTTTTTTGTAGCGAGAAATTTTATCATCATAGAATTAAACGTCACAAACAAGTTCGAAGACCGACAGTTCTAATTATGTGTCAAGAGACACATAAAGATAAATTTAACACAATCTTAATTCAATTCGATTGTAATATCGGCTGAAGAAATAATGTTTTTATTGTATATAAAAAGTAAAAGTAATTTTTTTCTCTAAAGATATTAGAGTTGCAAATATATACAAATATATAAATATATGAAAAAGATGTTAGAATTACAATTGGCTCTGAAATACGAGTGTTATATTATTTGAATGGGTTTTGAGTTACATTATTTACATAGAGGTTTTTTTTATCAAGAAAAAGATCTTTTCTTTTGAACAGTAAGTCTCAGTTACTTTAGACAAATATTTTCTTTGCTTTTGTTACCATTCAGGGTAACTGAGAAATTAAATTTACGAGCCGTTTTCCAAAAAAAAAACGAAAAAAAAAAAAAAAAAAAAAAAAAAAAAAAAAAAAATGAAACAAGAGCAGCAAGAGCCATTCCCAGGATGTTGTGCAGGAATAAACGTGCATGTATATATA